GTTTCTGTGGGAAACTCCTTTCCTGCCAGGGTTTTAAAATCAAAATAAACCTTCACTTTTAAGCCTCCAATTTTAGATTTTATTTTTTTTCTTCCCCATAATTCGTGATTTTCTTTCTTTTCAATTACTTGACTTGCCGTGTGCCCTATCACCCATGATTGTCTGTTAATACTATTAAAAATCAATAATCAATAACTAAAGACATTATAGGAGAACCTTCCTACAGGGTCGTCAAGGCAGGTAAAAAAATCAAAGTGCAGTTTTGTCTCAATTTTGTGATTTTTTTTTTCTGTTCATTTACTTTTTACAGCTTGGTGATGTTCCATTTATTTATTAATCTATGCAGTTTTTTTATTTCTTTCATTATCCAGTACATATTTTTATAAAGTATTCTTTTGGTAGTCTATGAGGAATGAGTGTTGTAGTTGTTTATGTTCTCGCAATTGTTTGCCTCTGGTTTTGACAGTTCCTGAACAAGCTGCGCATGCGCTTCTTCTGGCGCATGCGCATCGGTCTCTTATCTGAATGACAACTGCAGCACTACATAACGGGCAAACATTCGGCAGGAGTTCGGTAGAAAAAAGTCTTGACTAAAGACTTGTCAAACCAGGTCAAAGTAATGAGTTAGATTGTCAAATTTCTAACAAACACAACCCGAGATGGAACAGACAGGCGCTGCCACAGAAAAAATGGACCAGGAGTTTGAAGAAATGGATTCAGAAGGCCGGTGGCAGAAACTGTACTCCGTAAGTCTGTTAGCATAGTTAGCATGAAGCTAACACGGTTTGTAATTAGAGCGGGCATTTTATTTAGCAAGCTAGCTCTTCGTCTTGATTAGTTTACTCTGACGTTTATAACCTGACCTCTTTCTGTTTATTATGTTTTAATACGATAGCGTAGTTTCCTGATAAGCTTACAGCTGTAAGTTTAAACCGATTACAAGTTTGTGCTTGTATATGGTTAGCTAGCTGTAATTTATCACGTTATATCCTACTTATTTAACTTTATCTTACCTGTTATAATGTTCTATCGGTACTTTTACAATGATGCGTTTATTGGTCAAAGTTTGTTACTACGTTATAGTGATTGGACTGAGCAGCCATCGTTTTTACAGACATTTCCGATTTTAACGTTTTAGGCATTTAGTGCTTTTGTTCGTTCTTTCTTTCCCCTGTCCAGGAAATCAGAAATCAGTCCCACGAGTGCGCCTACAAAGTGGCAAAGTACCCAGAGAATCGCAACCGAAACAGATACAGAGATGTCAGCCCATGTGGGTAAACATTTGGCCAAAAGTCCAGACGGTTTACACTGTGATGTTTCTTTAAATCTTTAACTACGTCTGTCAATTTACAACTCACTCCTAAATAACTTTCTTCCTCACGTTCCCTGCAGTCGATCACAGTCGAGTAAGGCTGGAGAACACAGAAAATGACTACATCAATGCAAGTCTGGTGGTGTTGGAAGAAGCCCAGCGAAGTTACATATTGACTCAGGCAAGTCCAAGCACTTTATTCTACTTGTTCTCTGTTTATGCTGCCTTCTCAATAACAGGCAGTGGGCGACGATTTTGCCGCCTACTCAAGTGTCCCACGCCGCTGACATTGACTGATGTAAAAACAAATCTTTCCTGTATTTGCTATTGCAGAATGTAGTATACACCTCATTTCATTATCATATATGTCAAGTTTTATGGATTTTTCGTAAATTATACAGATTTTTCATGACTACAGATGTACGGAGAAAGTCGTACAGACTTTTCAAAAACTTCGCTTCCAATGTATTTTACCTCTCAGAGTCGGCCAGTGTGATCCGATGCTAAATAGCCGCTTTGCCATTGAGAAGTGCAACTGCACTCGGCTCTCTTCTTCTCGGTTTTTGTCAGGTGTAGGTGATTTGCCACTGTGACTTGTTTCCCTGTTCTGTGGATGGGATAGTCAATGCAAAGTATGCAGAATTATAACAGGTCTTTTATGTTTGAGTCACTCCGCCCGTTGTGTTCCTTAATCACATTATAATCAGACTTCAATTTCTTTAGCTTATCCTGGCACTGCTTGTATGTCTCGGCGTAGCCATGCTGTGTCATCATCTCCGATATCGCTTTGTAAATGCTCTCATTTCTTGTGGTGCCATTCTCACGCTGAGTCTTAGGGAGGACCGTACCTCACCACAGCACTGTTTTTGGATTTTCCATACTAGAAGAAACAACACACACAAAACATGATCAGAGAGGAAATGTAGGTTCACTGGGCAGGTCATCCAGTGACATATGTCCACTGGCCAATCAACAGCTGCTCTCTTCTTACATTAAAGTTGTCACTTCGGACTAGTTCGCTTGGAACCATGGTGGGAACCATAGGTGGTCCTAAAAACTAGGTTGAGTGGAGATGGGTACTGGCAGTGGGCAGGCCCCTACCTGGTACGGAGCCCATGAGAGTTGAGACTGTGGCAAAGCACCAAATGTGTAAGTAACCAAAGCTCTCTGGTGCCCAGTGAAGGAGGACAAGAACAGTAGAGGTGAAACTTGACCCAGACAGAGGTACAGGACAAAAAGTCCAAAAATTATTTCTCTCTTGCTGAAACAAGTTTGTTGATCAGTAAACAGTGTTTGCAATTTTAACACCAGCTAATGTTCTGCACCAGCCTGAACTGAGATGAAAACTTGTTCTAGAAATTATATCAGTGTTTTCCCTACCATTATTAAAGGAGGGCACCCTGTCCTGTCAATAGAACCGAGAGCCCCGCCTACAAAATCTCCCACCCCCAACGCAGCTCCGCCACTTCCGAACGGGGAGCGGCGATTGTAGCAGCTTAACTCAGACGCCAAACCAGATGCAATGCCAACGTAGCGTTAAGCTAACCAATCCCCACCTCCCTCGCCCAATACAGATGTAGCGTTCTGCCCCCCCCCCCCCGTCACCACTAAAGTAGCGCTGCGCTTCCCTCGCCGTCATGAATTGTAAACCAACTTCCAAGATTACTTTCTGCTAGTTTCACAAAAATTCCTCCAGTTGTTCATGAAATATGTCATAATATGGACACACAAACATGTGTACACACACACAAGCAAAAACACAATTTATTTCCACAACCCTAAGATAAAGGCGAACAATGATAAAAACAAACATTAATTTTTATATGGGACTATCTTTAATTTAGATTAGACTGTTAAATAATTTTGTCACTTGACTAATCTTGGACTAAATATTTTTTGTTAAAAATAAACAATTTAAATATGCTGAGTTGACAACTATATATAATAAAATGTTCTTGTTGATAGATTTCTGTTTAGTTTTGAATTGTTTGTGTATCATTAACATAGAATAATACTTTATTTGTCCCTCAGTGGGGTGATTCCAGTGTATCATCAGCAAAGTGATGCACACAGGATACACAATAAAATGTGACAGATTAATAATTGCCTGAATCATTTGGGTATTAAAACTAACCCATCATTGTAGACAATTGCAACTTTAGATTTAGTTGAAAATTTTGTGAAATGTTAAAAATACACGATTTGCGGAGAAACGTAAAATGTAAATCAGACTTAGAAAGATTCTTGTAATATTTACAATTGTTGTGCAAAAATATTATTTTGTTTATTGAAAAATAGCGCAGTTACAAGATGTAGATGTTTGGTCAGTGAAGACACTAATAAGCATAATCTGAATAAAAAAAGGAAAGGCTATTTTGGTGGTCCAGTCAGTTTCATGCCATCCACTTCTGACATCCTTTTTCCTGTTGATTTCATCACTGTTCACACATGTATTCACATGACTAACACCCCGCGTGTTGCTGGGATAAATAAACAGACGAAGCTTGAACTCAGCTGTCGATGATCCAAATGATTGCTGAGTGGGTCATTGTGCTCCTAACAACTTCCCAGAACCTTAAAAAACCATAAAAGTTTAGATATGTTGGACTTTGTACCAATCATTATAGCTGTGAAAGACTCGTGGATAATAAATAAATAAAAAAGTTCAGGAACCAAATGTTAGAATGTCTTTTTGTCTTCATTTAAGGTCATATTAGTCGTGCAGCTTGATCACTGAATTTACTGTAACAGTTTATTTTAACTAAATCTTAGCAATCATTTCTCACCAAAACCAATTTCAGTAATTTAAAGCCACAAGTTACTCAGTTTAGCTTTGTAAGATGAACACTTGTGATTTTTTTTTTTGTGGTTTGTAGCCTTTCAAAGTAATTTGAAAGTATTTTAAAATTAATTATTTTTGTGCAAACTGTTGTCAGTGCTTAAAAGTTTCCAGTTTGACTAAAGCTACAATTTGTTTTTGATTTTTTTGTTGTTGTTCGTAACATCTGCTTGCTTCATTTCTGAGATGTCATTTATGGTTTGTGACGGTGTTTCGTGGATCAATAGAAGTAGCGAGAAACTGTCTGAAATTAAACAGCACTTTTTTTTTCAATAGCTTGTTTTTTAATCTATTAAGTTTTGTATTTATAAAAATTTATATGCTTTTGTGCATCATCATTTTTGTTACTTTGATATGTGCATGCAGAGAAAAGTAAATTTTTCTGCCACATTTAAGTTGTAGTTGCAACTCAAGTGCAGTTTTTAAAATCCCACTGTGATCTTCAGCTTTCACAACCTTCCAGTAAATTCTTTCAAAACATCTCGGTTACCGTGTTTCCTCAGCGATCAAGACCAGCTGATAACTGTTGTTGAACACACTGGATAATTTAGTTTAACAGCATCGCTCGTTGCTCCAAGATTGCACACAGTCTGTTTCGATTAACATTCCTTCCTCCCTGCAGGCTCCGCTTTCATCCATTTAACTTATGGTCACTGTATTTGTATGGATTTTGTCCACAGGGCCCTTTGAGAAACACCTCTGGCCACTTTTGGCTCATGATCTGGGAGCAGAAGACAAAGGCAGTCATCATGCTTAACAGGGTCATAGAGAAAGGATCCGTAAGTGCACATGAAAAACCACTTCATGTAATTTACCAGCAGAAATATTAGGAGATGCACAGGTGTGTTTAAGAAGGACGGTGTTCTACTTATCGAGGAAGTTTTGCTTTTATGCATGTTCTATAGAGAAGCACGTGTGCAGAGCTTGAAGGCAGCCTTAGTTAACACACCTGAGCTAATGCAGCTGAAATAATAAAAAACTGGTCAAGGTCATTTATTTATGGAATACTGAGATTTTCAGACTGAGCCAGGATCAGTTTCAGTTCACCACCTTGTATTTCTTATTACAGCAGTCCCTCGTTTATCGCGGGAGTTTGTGACCACGCCCCCCAGCGATAAGTGAAAAACTGTAAATTAGGGATAAAGTAGTCCAAATTCAAGTAAACTTTATTGTCATTACCATCTTATGTGGTACATGAGATGGAACAAAATTATGTATACAAGTAGTAGTAATAAGTAGTAGTTTATTTTAGTATTTATATACAGGTATATATTAAGGCGTTTTAAACCCATCCCACGCTCTTGCATTGTCCCTAATAATTTTCTAAACTAAATGTCTAAGAGCACAGCATGTCATGATCTCAGCTCTCTGCCACATGCCAGCGCTTGGCCACGCCCACTTCTCCACTGCAGAGTGGCGATCTGACATGCTGCAGAAAGAAGCTTCTCCTGCAGCTATGGGTTGCACTCAGGTGCAGCAGGTGCTAAATAATTAAAAATTTATTTTAAATAAAAATTCCATGCCGATCGTGCGGCTCATCAATCAATCACCCAGTTGTGTGTCATGTCCAATCTTACTTTGAAAAACCACGATAGAGCAAGTTCGCGAAAAACGAACGGCGAAGTAGCGAGGGATTACTATATATCACTTTTCACTATAATACTAAAGTTGTGATTTCTTAATCACAACATGATCCGACAAATAAATTCAGAGAGAACTAAACAATGTCACTCTAATTTTGCTCATTCTGTAAATCCAACACTCGCTGGATGAGCTGAAACTGCACTTTTGCAAAAACTCAAACCAGAGCATTCATACTGAAATATCAAGTTTGTCTCAGTGCAGTTTACGCTCTTCAAAAACCGTTTTCGAAAAGCTACAAATTGATTGTCAAAACACTCCTTGAGTCTAGATGAGAACTGATATATTTACAGGTATAATAGTTTTAATATGGATGTATTCGCTCTTCTGTTTGCAGAATGTAACATTTTAACAGCATGTTTGGATGGAGAGGGTCTAGGATAAAATTCAACCCTCATAACTCCTGTGATCCTGTGATGTGCAGATTAAACACTCAGTGAAAAACCTTCACAGCTGTGACCTCTCTCTTTCTGTAAAGCAGCTGGAATGGATCTTGTTGGGTCAAGAGATTCGCTCACTGACGGTTTTCTCGGAAGGGAAGATAGAAACAATTTGAAATGAGAAACAATCCTTAATGTTGACCATCTTTTTAGTTTTTCATCAAAGGTACCTGATAAACTTATAACAGTCGATCAGTGCAGTTTAAAAAGGGTGCATGGTACAAAAAAAACAGGATTCATATTTTTATTTATCCTGAGCAAGACTACACCTAGAGGCACTTTTACAAAACACTTTAAGCTGATGTTAAACCATATTTTGTGACCACTGTATTTTGTGACTGCAGAATGCTACACTAATGGCAAATGTTAATAGTTTAAAAGAGGAGGGTGGGGTAGACTGATCCAACAATAAATACTGTGCAAGCCCAGTTGTTAGTGAAAAATGTGTCTTATCCCTTAAAATACTGCCTAAAGTAAACTTTTACAACTTTTTTTTTTTTTACACTTTATTTTCAACTTTTACGAGACTGTTTTAATGGTTGATTTTAATGGTTCCAATAAACTCAGACTGATGAAGTCCTCTGGATAGAGGGCGAAACGTCTCTATAAAAAAAATCAACTGTCCAGATGAGCTGACTGAGAAGTATTGGATTTGATACCCGGATGATCGAGCATGAACTTTGTTGACTATACATTACACTATAATGACATTTAAAATATTCAAGACATGGCGTCTTTGTGCAGCGGCTCTCTGGTGGCTGTACATATTTTGTAATCCTTTATATGTTTGCTTTTTAAAAGCACAGTCTTGTTTTTTTTTTATCCATATTACCATGTGGAATACAAACGTTTTTTAAATTTAGAAAGCAAAATTAAATAATATGAGTGGCTCATTCAGGCGACTGTTGTATCATGTGACCACTTATATTTCAGTCATTTTCAGTTTATTCGATAAATTTAACTTGAGTTGTTCACATTTTTGTCTATTTACTGATAATACCATTTGATTAAATGTTTGTTAAAGATGTAAATTATAATTATTCAGTCTAATCAAAGCTGCGTTGTTTATTAATGGACAGGTAAAAGTGCAAGCATGTGTCCTCAGTACGAGTCATCACGTTCCTCGACATGTCTGGGATCAAATTGCTGTTCTCTCAGTTGTCATGAGATAAATATCTTGATCAGACGCTTGGATTATGTTTCCGGTTATTTATTTTTTTTCTTCTCCCATGACAGGAAAAGTGTGCCCAGTACTGGCCCACAGCGGAGGAGAGGGAAATGGCCCTTCGAGACACACATTTCTTGGTCACATTGTTGTCAGAAGACACAAAGTCTTACTACACCACCAGAGTACTGGAGCTGCAGAATCTTAATGTAGGAATCTTTATCATTTAACACATGACCACTTAAACTTATATATGTCTTTATTGGTGCTTTTCCCTCCTCTCTTTCTTCTAAGATGTTAGGTTTAGTCATATGCAGGACAACACAAGGTCAACAATGCAATGAAATGCTCAGGACGAGAAGAACCGTCTCGACTCGTCCAAAAAAAAACAATACCAGAGCATGCATGCATGATGTTGGCTAATTGATTAAACTGAAATCCACTTCTAATAACATTCATCTTAGTGGTTAAACACGGCTAACTTCACTATCAGAAATGAGCAGCTTATAATTTCTCTCCTCGTTTGGTCATGCTGTCGTGTTTCACAGACGGGGGAGAAGAGAGAGATCTACCACTTTCATTACACCACATGGCCCGATTTTGGTGTTCCTGAATCCCCGGCGTCCTTCCTGAACTTCCTCTTCAAAGTGCGGGAGTCTGGAGCGTTGGGAGTGGATCACGGACCGGCCGTGGTGCACTGCAGTGCTGGGATTGGACGCTCAGGGACGTTTTCTTTAGTTGACACATGCCTTGTACTCGTAAGTGCTTTACAGGTTTTATATTTGGACTCTGTTTGTGTGTTACCTTTGTGTGATTTAATGCATTCCTTTAATTATATTTGACTTGGGTGTCTCCAGTAACTTTCCATTCCTATAATAAAAAATGTCAATTGCTCATCGGTTTAAATTTAATCATCACTTTGAGCAAAAAAAATGTTCTGATTAAAACTTTTTAAGATGTTAATATTTCAAGGACTTAAAGTAAGTTATGTGTTACGTCCTTTTACATTCTTTTAATGGAGATATGTGGAGATATGGCATCACATTTATTTGTGCTTAAGAATGCAAATAATGTCAACCACATGATAAAATAGCTTCTTTATTACTAATCTGTTTTGCAACTGGCTCCTTTGAATACTTGAAATAGCAGAAAGGAGTGTTTAATGGCTGTGCTTGCAGACAATAACCACAAATTGTTTTTCTTGTAGGCATTTCAATAAGACTTAATATAACTTTGATTTAAATCACATTTATTTCAAAATATATACTGAAGAAAATAAAGCAGCCAGTGTCGGCATCACGCCACAAAGAACCGCTCGCCGACTCGGTTTTGTTTAATTTGCTGCTTTCAGAGGAAAAAAAACCTGTCATCACAGCAAAGTTTCTGTTTAACAGTCACAAACCGCATCAGGAAACAAGAACTCATAAGTGGTGAGTCACGTTGTTTTTCTTTGTTTTCTAGATGGACAAAAGGAAAGACTCGTCATCAGTGGACATAAAAAGCATCCTGCTGAAGATGAGGAAGTACCGCATGGGTCTGATCCAGACTCCAGACCAGCTGCGCTTCTCTTACAAGGCTGTCCTCGAAGGAGCCAAGTGCATCATGGGAGACTCTTCTGTACAGGTAGCAATGACGCACACACAAGTCCATCACTCATACAGTCACAACCACGTTATTTTTTTTTATTGTATTCATTTTTTTTAAAGGTTGTGACGTTTAGTTCTGCCTTCCTGGTGTAAGTTACTTCATATTCAGTTAAAGTAAACTGTAGTTAAAGTTATTTAAGAGACAGATTGTCCTAAATTATACTGGAATTATTTAGATTTGAGCAACTACATTTAAATAAATTCAGTTCAATTCAAAAATACTTTATTAACCTCAAAGGGAAATTAAATGTTGTAGCTCATCCTGGTTTCATTAAAGAGTTGTTATACACTACATTGCCAAAAGTATTTGCTCACCCATCCAAATTATCAGAATCAGGTGTTCCAATCACTTCCATGGCCACAGGTGTATAAAATGAAGCACCTAGGCATGCAGACTGTTTTTACAAACATTTGTGAAAGAATGGGTCGCTCTCGGGAGCTCAGTGAAATCCAGCGTGGAACTGATAGGATGCCACCTATGCAACAAATCCGGTCGTGAAATTTCCTAACTCCTAAATATTCCAGTCGGCTGTTTTATAAGAACAATGAAGTGTTTGGGAACGACAGCAACTCAGCCATGAAGTGGTAGGCCACGTAAACTGATTGAGCGGGGTCAGCGGATGCTGAAGCGCGTAGTGCGAAGAGGTCGCCAACTTTCTGCAGAGTCATTCACTACAGACCTCCAAACTTCAGATTAGCTCAAGAACAATGTGCAGAGAACTTCATGGAATGTGTTTCCATGGTCGAGCAGCTGCATTCAAGCCATACGTCACCAAGTGCAATGCAAAGCGTGGGATGCAGTGGTGTAAAGCACGCCGCCACTGGACTCTAGAGCAGTGGAGACGCATTCTCTGGAGTGATGAATCGCGCTTCTCCATCTGGCAATCTGATGGATGAGTCTGGGTTTGGTGGTTGCCAGGAGAACGGTACTTGTCTGACTGCATTGTACCAAGTGTAAAGTTTGGTGGAGGGGGGGATTAAGGTGTGGGGTTGTGTTCAGGAGCTAGACTTGACCCCTTAGTTCCAGTGAAAGGAACTCTGACTGCTTCAGAATACCAAGACATTTTGGACAATTCCATGCTCCCAACTTTGTGGCAACAGTTTGGATCTGGCTCCTTCCTCTTCCAACATGACTGTGCACCAGTGCACATAGCAAGGTCCATACAGACATGGATGGCAGAGTCTGATGTGGATGAACTTGACTGGCGTGCACAGAGTCCTGACCTCAACCCAATAGAACACCTTTGGGATGAATTAGAGCGGAGACTGAGAGCCAGGCCTTCTCGTCCAACATCAGTGTGTGACCTCACAAATGTGCTTCTGGAAAAATGGTCAAAAATCCCCATAAACACACTCCTAAACCTTGTGGACTGTCTTCCCAGAAGAGTTGAAGCTGTTCTAGCTGCAAAGGGTGGACCAACGTCATATTGAACCCTATGGATTAGGAATGGGATGTCACTTAAGCTCATATGTGAATCAAGGCAAGTGAGCAAATACTTTTGGCAATGTAGTGTATATGAATGGTGGCTGTGGCTGAGTGGTTAGAGCAGTCGTCCTTCATTGCAAGAGTTGGGGGTTCGAATCCACCAGCAGTCACATGCCGAAGTGTTCCTTGGCAAGACACTGAACCAGTGTTGGAATGTAACAAAGTAGAAATACTTTGTTAATGTACTTAAGTAGAATTTTGACATATTTTTACTTTACTTTGTTATTTACATTTCTAGCAACTTTCACTTTTACTTCAATACGTTTCCCTTAACCATCTTAGTTACTAGTTACTACAATTTAAAATTACCGTAGAAGAAATCTGATTGGACAATGCCTGTTTGTTCTCCCAGTCTGACTTCATGCGGCCCCTTCTCTCTCCCTCACTGACACTGTCAGTCACAAACCCAGCCCCTCCCCCACCACTTGTGTGAAACCTGCAGCTTCCGCTGTGAACAAGCTAGATGCGTATACAGATAGCAATCGTTACAACTGAGCTTTGTTGACTCGCAGTGGAGCCACTGTAAATTCCTGATAGGTGTGAAAATGACAGTAGCTGCTAAAAAGGAGAGGTTTGGTGTTCTCCAGAACATGAACTGCTTCAAGAGCATAGGAAATATTAATTCCTATGCTATTATATTATCCTATAATATATCCTAGTGTTTCCCCTAGATAACTTGCCATGGCGGGCCGCTCATCTTGTCCGTGATTTTTGTCGGGGGGGGGGGGGGGGGGGTGAATGGAGACTCGTCCCAAGCTGTGCAGCGCGCTGTTTAAACCAACAGTTTTCGGGGGGGCACAGAGGCAGCCACGCGCTGTTTGCACTGACAGTTTTACAGTTTTAGACCAGGGTGTGTGAGAAGAGAGACAGACACACATCTCAGCCGCGTGCTGTCTGAACCGACAGGTTTTGTTTTTTTGGTGGGGGGGTCGGCGGGGGGAGAGACAGACGCAAATCTGAGCCATGCGCTGTTTGTACCAACAGTTTTCGAGTGGCGGGGGTGCGTTCAGCGTGAGGGTTCAGCATGAAGGAAGAGGCTGCCTTTAGCTTTTTAGTTAGTGCACCTGCATTGCGAACCGCTAGTTTAGCCTTACGTCAGTGCAGACAGGTGGTTGGAGGTGAGTTCGGTAGACGGGGCGCTCGGTTCTGTTGACGGGGCACCCCACTTGTATAATGGTAGGGGAAACACTGTCCTACATTATTAATTAGTCAGAAAGAAACGAACCATAACCAAAACAGAACCTAGCTCAGTAAACAAGCCAACTACACAACAATGTGAGCTTTCTAACAGCTTTGTTAATTGAATGAATATACTTCATTAGAATCAGACTTTTTAAAGATCAATCTCATTGTTCAGTTCAAACGTTCCAAGTTTTTGTCACTGGATATTGCACCCAATAAATGTTGCTTTGGAAATTCTAACCATTTACTTTTACTTAAGACTCTTTAAGTACATTTTATAAGAGAAATTTACTTTTGATACTTAAGTACATTAAATGCCCGATACTTTAAGACTTTTACTTAAGTAATAATTTTAAAGCAGACTTTAACTTTTACAAAAGTAATTTTATGGTAAGATACTTGTACTTTCACTGAAGTATCACTTTGAGGTACTTTATACAACACTGCACTGAACCCCACATTGCTTCCGATGTGTGTCCCATCAATGTATGACTGTGATCTAAAAGCACTGATTAGTCTCTCTTTAGAAATATTTGTTCAATTAGATTTATAGCGATATAGTAGAGTGCTGTATGAATGGGTAAGGTGTGTAAAGCACTTTGAGTGTCTTGATAAGACAGAAAGGCTCTATTCAAGTACAGTCCATTTACTATATATGCTGATGGCTGTGGGCAGGAAGGATCTCTTGTAGCAGTCCGTCTTAGAGCAGATCTGAAGAAACTGTATGCAGATGTTGATCTATCTACTTGGACTTGGTGGGTTTCTCGGTCTTCTTGGGCAGCAGGACCATCTTAATGTTGGGCAGAACTCCCTGAGCGATGGTCTCTCCTCCCAACAACTTGTTAAGGTCCTTGCCAATGCGGACAGCCAGGTGCAGGTGTCAGGGGATGATCATGATCTTCTTGTATTCACGAGCCGCGTTTCCCACCAGCTCCAGGATCTCTGCGGTCAGGTACTCACGCACCTCCACCAGGTAGATGGGGATGGGTCCACGGCGCCTCCTTTTTTTTTTTTTTTAGCTCATTTGGGATTTTGGGGCAGTAGCTGAGGCATTACTTGAGCTTTTGAGATGTTAATCAGCTGCTCCCAGTTGTAAAAACCACCTCGTTGTCATAGTTAGGCTTCGTAACAAATATCCAAAAGCAAAAAGGTTTCAGTAAAAATCCTTCCAGTTGCACAGCATCCGATATCGGAGGAAATATTCATCCAAAAAAAGTGATTTACATCCAGAAAAAGGAGGAATTAAGTTTTCAAAAGCAGCAACACAGAATGAAACTAATAGCTGCTCGTCAATCTGTTGCTTATGGTTTTACGGTTTTATACGTTTGTCAAAAGGTGGATCTCAGTCCGTTCATCTGTATGTCCATAAACTTCTCTTGTTCCACCCATAACTTCTGATCCCCTCAAGATAATTTAATGAAACTTGATGCACTTATGTACCATCTCTAGATGGAGTGTGGTGTACACTTTGTTTGAGATTGAAGGTTTCTCAACACTTAACAAATTATTTAATAATTTTGTTTGATACATTTGTAGAAATGATTATTTCTTTCTATCTGCATTTCGTACGTGTCTTCTTGTAGAACCAGTGGCGTGAATTATCCAAAGAAGATCAGGAACCAACTCCAGAGTCTCCTCCATCAGCTCAGCCTCAGGCCAGGTGTCCTGTCGAGCGATACAACGGCAGCCAAAAAGGAGGTCAGCAGCAGGAGGGAAGCGATCTCAGACAGGACGGAAAAGTACCTGCACAGTCTTCCTGCAAGGATCAGGAGCTGGACGGCAGCACGACACAGTTAGTACAACGAGTCATAAAACTCACAATCAGCTTAAAATGATCAATAGCTGATCATTTGAAATGTGCGGTTCCTTATTAGCCAGAAAACCTGATTATTTACCTGATATTTAATGAAATGAAAATGAATTTGTTCCATTTTTGTACCTAAAAGGACACCTTTTAACTAATGTTTCATCTATTAATGCAGCAAACGACGCAGAGAAGACAGTATTTCCAAATCTGGTACAACAAAGACGCCCCAAAACAAATCCAGGTCAAATGACTCAGAGAGGAAGAGAAAAAGGTGATTATATCTTTTGGTCAAACCCTTTTTTTTTTTTTTTTACACACACTGCGCAATCAAATGAAATGCACCATTAGGTCAGGACTTGTTTTAATCCCCGTTGTAAAGTTTGATGTGGACTCAGATTGTGAGATTCACCATGTTTTTGCAGCACATAGAAAGACTAATGCGTAGAATGTATAACACCATTTTACAAGCTTCATGATTGCTCCTAAAAGACGGGAGAGCAGAACTTTTGACATTTCCTAAAGAAATACAGATTACATTTATGTTTAAAAAAGTCCAGACAGGTTTTGGCTTGTATTAGAAGGTGAACTGAGGCGTTTGTCCTTCTAGCTAATCAACATCCTTGTTTTATTGTGCTCTAAAGGCTGACAGACTCGATGAAGCACTTCTCTCTGACTCTGCAGCTTCTCAGTCACTTCTGAGAAGCCTTCCTTTGTTGTCACATGTCAGTGTTGTTCCAGTAACTCGGATGAAAGCAGCGAGGTGTCACTCTCCTGTCGTTGTGGTTTTCCTGGACAGTTTGGGGTGCATTTGCTGCACGTGACAGGAGCTGGCCTGTTGGGTGGGGGGAGCATTCTACGTTGTCCCCCCTCCCCCCCACCCCCGGAATGGCATCAACCACGACGAGCTCATTTAGAGGAGGAAGTTTAACAAAAAAGAACGCCAGCTTGTGTATCTGGAGGTGTGTGTGTTGCTGATGGGGTTTTATTTTGTTAATTTGCCTGGCAGTTTGGAGTTGTGGTATTTTTGGCTGCACTTTAGCATGGTGTGTGTGTGTGTGTTTGATAAAAAATTGATTAAACTCAGGTTGAGCTGGAATAGAGGAACAAAGAAGTGAATATATTGTCGTTTGAAGCTGCTTTCTATCTGTTTGGAATCACTGCTCTGGATGTACACGTGTCGTTTTGTTGGTGATGCAACTCAGAGAATACAAAAGAGCTTTAAATGTTCTTTGGGCGTTTTATGAGTGAGAAGTGGGTTCTTCGTCAAAGCAAGAAAGTTCCTCTGTTGCATGTCGGTTTGGTTTGCTGCTAACGTTGCTTCTCGAGCGTGTCACTGTGCCTCATTTGAATCCAGTTTGGTTTCTATCAGGTTTATGAGCTCATCTGAGCGGCTCTTTGTTTAACTTAACGACTCGTTGCCTGTGCCCAACCACATTGTTCTATATATGTGGAATATACAAATAGTTGTTTGATCCATTTGTGGTTATTGAATCTACTGAGCAAAAGTGGCTACTTTAAGCTTGAATATTCAGGGTTTCTGCAGCGTTTCAAAAATATTTAAACAAGTTCAAAAGAATCCAGTTCTCTGCTCCTTCTAGTTCTTTGACAAATAAAGTTTACTTGGAAATAAATTTGGCTCCTTTTCATAATTCACATTGGTCTTAACGTAAATTTGCATAAACCCTGAATAACGAGCGAATGTTAGTTTATTAAAAAAATAATAATTTTAATGGCACAAATTGAACAACAAACTGTGACTTGAAGAACTTTGTGTTTTAAATTGTAAAAACTGAAGTTTTATCTCCATTTGAATTACCGATACTCCCGAGGTGAATGACGATGAACGATGCTCGCAGTATTAGATTAATTGGTTTTAGTTGAGATTCCTCTAAGCAGTGCCCCGTTTGTTTTTAAACTTGACAGCTGCTTTTGCTGCATAAATCCGATCTGAGACAAATCTTTAAACCTCTACGGTGAAAATTTATTTAGAATATTTAACTAAATGACTTCTGCGCCACAGATTTCTTTGATATTGAGCTTGCTTTTCCTTACTGTTTTGATGTTTTACTTCATTTTGTCTTTTGAGACAGGACGAAAACCAATGACTGCTGACCAGCTCCACGACTTCAGCTGTTTCCAGCTATGAAAACAGCTGCAGCTCCACGACTTCAGCTGTTTCCAGCTATGATAACAGCTGCAGCCACAAGACTTCAGCTGTTTCCAGCTAAGTAAACACCGGCAGGGAACTCCAGCTCCCCCAGTTCCCATCCTCTGTGCTCTTCCTCCTCATTGTATTTTATTTGTTCTAGTCAACTGTTTCAGTATCATGCCTCTTGACAGTTGCAGCATCCCCCCCCCCCCACCCAGCTTTCTGAACCTCATTCTTTCTGAACCATTTACAGCACTTGCTGACATTTCTTTGAAGAAAAACGAAGCACCTCAAACCACACCCAGCCATCATCTTTCTGCTTACAGAATCAGTAAATACCTTTTTTCCCCACCCCCGTTCCTCTCAAGACTGAAAATAGGGGCTATGCATTGCCAATTTATAATGCTGTTCATATGTGTATTTTTGGAAAAACATTTTTTTCAAAGGGGAAAAAAATGTATTTTTATAAGAAACTACTTGAAGTTTTCAGGCGATAAGGTTTGTATAATGACAAATACTGCCACCACACGAGTTAATACCATGGCAGGAAATGTTTCCATGATGTACATAGTACTTTTTTAAAAGTTGTGTATTAAAGGTATTTTTGCTTGTAAAAATAAAGAGATGTTACAGAGCTGTACACAACAGAAAACCCTCGACTTTTCTGCTTTGAAATGAAATTGTCTTAAGGTATCACAGAGTGTAACCTCTAAATAAAACTGGTATCAGTTTACATACAGACCTGTCTGCTTTTCTTTTGTTACTTGGGGGGGAAGCAGTAAACTGAAAGCTCGTTCTTCCAGCACGTTCAGGTTATTGCTCCAGGTTTCCTCTTTACAGCCAAAACAATGATGCAAACAGAACGGGAAAACCACAAACCTGGCACCGGTTCTGCAGCTGAATGGGAGAATTGTTCTGTTACGACGCGGCGAGTTGTGGAAAGGAATCAAATTACTCGAAGGTGGGACTGCCAGGAATACAAGATGGCTTCGGGCCAAACACTTTCAGTTAAGAGGGCGGATCCAGTGAGAGTAAAATCAAGCTTTTATTAGTTTAAACAAACAAACCAGATTCTCTGGATTATCTTTTATTGGAAATCGTTCAAATTCTAGAACATTGCAATGCAGGAAGTCATATTTGGTCAGTTCCTGTAAATTTGGCACGTCGTATTAAAATAAGAGGAAAAGGGAAGATAACGGGGGGCTATTATACAACCTTTGTGTGTTTTTATGAAGCTAACTCAGAACAGTGCAGGCGGGATGCCGCTTCCAAACAGGAGACTCCAGGAAGTCGGGATCTTCCACTTGCTGCGAGATTGTTGGCTCTAGAGAGAGAATCGGACGAAACGCTGGGGTTTGTTTTTTAAACTCAAACCTACACCCGACGAGCGGGGAAACTCAAATTCTTTGAACTGTGTGGGTCTACAAGAAAAGGTAAGAGCTTACGGGATTGTCCAGCAGACAGAGCCAGTCATTGAGATGATTGACGAGCGTGAAAGCGTCCGGGACGTTGTCGCCTTCTGAGCAGAAGAGCAGCAGCACAGCCAGTGGTAGATCTTCAGTGCAGCTGGACCAGTAAAGATGAAAACACAGCAGAGATACAAAGTTATGTAACGAAACGTTGATTAAAACATTCAGTAAACGGGTTAAAGTCCTAATGTATCCTGTTTTGTTCTGGTTAAATAAAATCTTTACCTTGAACTTAAAATGAATTTCCTTATCCCAACAGATTGGAACACCATCCACAACTCAGCAGACGGTTGAACTGATCTTAAAATATTTAAACTTTTTTATAAAAGGCAAAAAACATAACTTTTTCTTAAGTGGGAGTCATGACCTCAAACAGATTTACTTTGATTTAAGACACTTTTCTGCAAACTACACACCATCGGTAACAGATGGAGTCAGCACGAAAATACCAACTACAAAAAAATTTATAATTTTAAACCAATTGAATTGGGAAAACCATCACATCTCAAAATCTGAATATAAAAGGTATGACTTCACTCATAAGAAACCAGTAGCAGCAATCCAGGTACCTAAAATTCCCAGTATCCTCTTAAGAGGAAGGCCACAGGTAGAGGGAGTTCTACCTATTTCAAAATTTCAGAGTAGGAACACCCCACAACATACCCCTGAAGGAAAAGGTCTAAAACAAACAGTTATCGGGACGGCTGTGGCTCAGTGGTTGGAGCAGCCGTCCTCCAATGGGAGAGTTGAGGGTTCGATTCCACCAGCAGTCAAATGCTGAAGTGTTCCTGAGCAAGACAGTGAACGCCTGTCCCATCGGTGTATGAATGTGATAAAGCTCTGATTAGTCTCTGTACAGATCTAGTAGAGTGCTGTATGAATGAGTAAATGAGGACACAGGTTCTATTGTAAAGCGCTTTGAGTATCTTCATAAGATCAAAAGGTGCTAGTGCAGTCCATTGATTCTGACAATTTGTCCTTCTCTACAAGCTTTTTCTTATTGACAGTCACACAGAGGCTGAAAGTTTGATACTCCAGACCTCAACATGTCATGCCACCCATCCATCCATGATCTTTAACTGCTTCTTCCTTTTCTGGTCGCGGGGCTCACTGGTGTCCATATCCAGCAGTCACCGTACGTGAGGCGGGGGACACCCTGGACAGGTCCTAATTAGTCCATCACAGGGACATAGAGACATACGAGACAAGCAACTACTGTCACGCACACCTAGGGACAATTTAGAGTTACCAATGAACCTAACCTGCATGATCCTGGTCTGTGAGAATAAAAAAAAACAAGAAATAAAAAACGGAAAATCCATGTATGCACGTGGAATAAAAGTAAACTCCACCCGTTTCCTTTAAAAAAGCAAAAACTAGAACAGTCTGCCAAATCAGAAGCACTGCCATCAACCTTCCACTGGTCAATCATGCAGCTGTAATCTGTTCCGCCTGCGTCATACGACTTATTTACGACGGGGGAGTTGTGGCGCAGAGGTTAGAGAAGGTGGACCTGAGATCGGAAGGTCGCCGGTTCGACTCCCCGGACCGACATCATCAAAACGGGGGTGGAAAAGGCTAAACACCTAGACCTGCTGCCTCCACCCTCATTTGCCCCACTCTGGGCCCTTAACCCCAACTACCTGCTCCCAAACAGGTCTTTCTTGAAAATGAGTCCTCGTAACTCAAGGAGACTGCCTGTATAAATAAAGTTTCAATATAAAATTAAATAAATTCACGGCGATTTAAAGTCCGTCTACCTGTCTGCGTAAAGTCCCTTTGTGACGCCTCCTCCTGGGATGCAGAGTCTCGGTTGTGCGTCTGCGTCCTTTACTCCAGGAAAGGGCGGCACTCGCTCCATCTCCCTCCAGCCAAGCTCGTTCAGGGCGTCCGCGCTCACCTTCAGCAGAGACGGAGTGGCCAGGTACCTCAGAGGAGTCCTAACGTGCACGTTCATTCGTCAGCACTCAGAAACAATCCCAAACAATCAGCAGAAGTAAGTGTTGACGTTTACCCCTGAAGCTGCTGGTCGTCCCTCTGGTAGGCATGGCTGCTGGAAAGAACCACCGTCCTGGAGAAACCACTGGCTTTGATCCAGGAAACGAGCAGCTGACAAAACTTCTTGGACTTCGTCTGCAGTGATCAGAATCGTACTAACTCAACCACGCTAAAGAAACGACTCAACAACGTGGATTCAAATGTCTATTCTCATGTTGCGGGTAAAAGAAAAGTCGTAGTGGAGCTGAAAACTGTTGATTTACCTGAACAACTGGTGCTCTGATCTGAAGGACAGCCAGCTTCAGTTCTGCTGCTGCGTAAACTGAACGGCAGAAAAATGTCATGAGTGTCATGTTAGCTTCTCATCACAAAGAATAACTGGAGATAAGTGTGGAGCAAAACAACGAGGCATCCCACCACACAAAAACTTCTGCTTATCAAACAAATACACAAATTTAACTCTAAATCTTTACCATTTCTGCCCCTTTTCTCAATTAACATTTGTCCAGAGCCGCAAAACTAACAAAGTTTGTTACTTTCTACAATAAACTGTTGACATTTATCAGTATGTTTATATTTTAGGACAAAGGAAAAATCCAAACTCATAAAGAAAGGTTGAACATTTTGTGTCTACACCCTTTGATAAATTATGAAGGTTTGTGTACATCCTTACTAAATTTGTGGAAATTTAATAAGTACTTTACTGTAAAATAATAAAGTGCATATTCGCATCCCAGAACATTATTTGATTAAACCTAAAAGTTAGGACAGTGTGTTGCATTTTGTATTGTGCCTCACAAAATGTTCTCAAATTACTAACGCCATAGCATTTTATTGTTTTAATAAAACGAGCTTATACTTCCAATTCTTATTATGCTCAGAAAACCTTGCCATATTTTGACCGAAAGTCTGATTCCAGTAACTCATGATAGTTTTGGTTTTTCTTCTCCGCTTGATGTGTTAAAAATGTTTAATTTCTGACTGGATTTCAAAGACCAAACTTTATGTATGGAGGTTAAAATAATTTTAACAGGGTATAAACTATTAGGGTAAACTGACTGAAGTGTTTTTACACAATATATTAATATTATCATTCTGTCACAAAATTTTAATTCACATTTTGCAGAAAAATGGACAAGACAGTTGCTATAATGAGTTTTCCTATTGTGCTTCTAAATATAATTCCATGTTACTATATTTAAGCTACAAAGAGTGGCAAGTTGTAGACTCCTGGCAAAGATAAACATCTGCACTTGCGTCAGATGAATCCAGTCAAACAAACAGTGAAGAGCACTGGGACAGTGGTCCGACGGTACCTTCTGCAGGAGTGTGAAGCTCCTCGGCGTCCTCTTTGCAGCTGACATACGGGTTGTTCCCGGCCATCGGGATGAGACAGTCTGTGTGGACGTAGCCCACTCTGCTCATGTTGAGAGTGGACACAATGAGGTCGACGGCCAGCTGGCCCACGTTACCGACAGCTACTGCCGGCTGAGAATGAAAGAGGGTTAACATAAACTGAAAAACTGACAATGATTTGTATTAATACTGAAGCAGGTTTATGCAACAACAAAAATTATTTCTATAGTTCTAACTTCTCAAATGTGAGGTCAGCTGTGTTTCACGCTGAAACTTTTACTACTTTTGACGAGTTTTTGTTGTGATACTCACCCTTAAGTAAAAAAATTTAATCTGTTTTTTTTTTCTTCTTGCTATAAAGTATGTTCACAGCACATTTGTGAATACAATTTTCTTTAGGCAAGTGAATGTTTTGTTATTTTCTTGAGTAAATTACAGGTTATGTAGAACGTTAAAGATTTTTTTTCGCATTATCATCTCAAAACAATTGACAAAAACATCTGGATTCCTGAAGCACAATTCAAAGCTTTTCTTTCACTGTTGACCATTTTTAATTTGGTTTTCTGCCTAAATGGAGCCCAAACTTCTCAGATAATGGTCAGCTCTGAGGAGGTCAATTCATCTTAAGAGAAGAGAGATCACCAACATCAGAATGAAGCAGTTTAAATACATAAATTTTCCAAATATGTCAATTAAAATTGGGCCTCAAGTCATGCTGTAAATGGATTTCACCCCCACCCACCAACACTGGTTTCTTTAAACAGATTTACAATTATTTATTTGAATAAATCTCTTGACTGACACAGAACAGGTTCTTATTTTTGTTTGTTATAACCAAATTCTACTGTACTAATAAATGTTTAAAGTAAGAGTTTTTGGATGAAGCACTGACTCATCGATAGTCAGTTTTAAACATTACAACCTGACTGGATGCTGTCTGTAGTAAACGCACACTCACCATGACGAGGGTGAAGCCTTTAAATGTGACCGGTGAGTCTTGTGAGATGAACATCGTGCTGTTTATTCGAAAAAACAACTATAAGATAGATACGCAAGAAAGAATAGCTGTGATAAACAAACACTAAATTTCTAGATAACTAAAACTTTCATGCCTGCTTCTGTTGGGAACCTTTTAAGCTTACTGACGATTAAGACCAATGCTGGGATGCTTGTATATTGCGTGAATGAAATGTAAAGTGAAACTAAATTTCAAAATTAAAAATATAAGTAATAAATAGTTTACGCGACTGCTTGTAATATATTACTTAGTATATAACAAGTTCTAATGTTCAGTATTCACGCTTAGCAAAATAAATTAAGAAAAGGTCGTTATTCTAGTCAGGCAATGTGGCGGACACCCAAAAGCGCAGCGAACACCTTTTTCCACTCTGAACTTTATTTGTAGCAGTCAGTGAGTACACAAAAACAAAATAAACACAGTAAGGCAACATTTCAGCCAAATATTAAATCATTTAGAAAAATGTTTGATTAAAATAAAGACAGGAAGTGTGTTATTAGTGAAATGTTTTAACAATTAAGTTTTTGAAAATTTTTCGTGATAAGTAAATACATTTTCATTCAACCTTTTTCAGACAGCTAAAGCCATAATGCTCTTCTTGTGAAAGTAAATCTGTTGGGCATCACTTTGACACTCAGACAATAATTCTAAGTCACAATGCCGGACAGGACAAGGGGAAAAAAAACAATAAAGACACAAACGCAGACTTGTTTCCTTAAAGGTTTAATTGCTCATAATTTTAAAACAAGTCAAAGATTAAAAAGGGTAAACTGATTTGAACGGTTTACTGCAGGAATTTTGAGTTTGTTTTATTATCCACAAAAATAAAATCATTTATAAGTTGTATATTTGCTGCCCACAAATACTATTGTTAAGTAGCTGCAGCATAAAAAAATCAAACGTGACTGAACAGACAAAAAGTGCTTAATTTTTGTAGCAAATTGGTAAAATGTCTACGTTTTAAAAAGTTGACAGTGCAGACATGTAATGTCATTTTAACTTGACTTCATCAGGAACAGGTAGACCTTTCACTGCTGCCACAGCGTTCTCCACCATCCGCTCCACCATCTTTCTAATGGTTGCGAAGGTGTTGGTGCCAACGTGGGGCGTTATCAGCACGTTGGGGAGGCTGAGGAGAGGGTGATCCCTGCGCAAACCAAGCAGGCGACGTCAGTCCTTCCTCTGGGCTTTGAGGTTTTACAATCAGCTAAAAGATATTATGTTAGGAGTGATGAACAGGTGTGTTTACCTGGGTAAAGGTTCAGGGTGAGTCACATCCAAAGCTGCTGCTCGAATCGTTCCGGTCCGCAGAGCTTCAACTAAAGCGTCCTGATCCAAGACCAGACCTGACAGAAAAAACAGCTTAGCATTATGGGTAAAAAACCAGCTGGGACAAATTTAAACTCAGATTGATTTCCACCTCTGCAGACGTTGACGAGAGTCGCCGTGGGTTTCATGATGGACAGCTCTCTGTGGCCGATCAGGCCCGTGGTCTCGGGGGTCAGGTTGACCACCAGCACGACAAAGTCGGACTCTTTCAGCAGGTCGTCCATGTTCTTGCAGTAAGTCGCCCCCACAGCCTGCTCATCTTCAACACTCCTGAGCAACACCAGGATAAATAAGCCTTGTTTTTAATATAGCCAAAGCTAACTAACTTATAGGTGTTTTACAGATATCGAGCTAAAATTGGTGTGGTAGTAGCCGAGAGTCGTTTCCTTCAAGGAATGCCATGCCTTTAATTCTGTGTGTATTAAAACTTTTGATGTCAATAAATGTATACACACTTCTGAGCAGACAGTACTGCATTCTGGGTAGAATCTTTGCGATCCACACCATTCCCTTTTCACTTTCACCTTCTGTTTCTGTTGTGATACAGGATCCTCATGTTGAAGCCTTTGCTTCTCTGTGCGATTCTGTAACCAATGTCTCCCATTCCGATGATCCCCATAGTTGAGCCTGTGACTTCAACTCCCATCAGGCTTTGTGGAATGAGGGAGGTCTTGGGATCAACGGCGATCATGTGCCCTAGAAAGACACAAATCAAAACACTTTAGTCCATGTTCAGTTTGAACCAGAGAGCGCGTCACAAAAGTGAAACAAATCAAGACGGTAGAAAAAGTTTTTATTGCTCTCACCTTCAACAATCTTCCGGGCTGACGCCACAAGAAGACCCATGGCGATGTCTGCCGTGGCGTCGCTCACCACGCCGGGCGTGTTTGCCACCTTCACGCCAAAACTGTTTATGAGCGGCACGTCCAGGTGGTCAATGCCCACTCCTCCGCTGGCGACCACCTTCAGTGACGGCAGTGATTTCAGCAGCGAAGGTCGGGCTTCAGGGTAATAGTTCCACATGAACATGGCCCGGATGTTTGGGCCGTGCAGGGCGGGGTTTTGTAGGAAGTCTTTGAGGCAGATGAGGTGGAAGTGTTGCTTCATGATGTCAACAACCTCTTCAACGTAACCATCGTTGCCCACCTCTGAGATCAGAGCCCATGGTTTGTCCTCCGCCATTAGCTGTTTGAAACAAAACAAAACAAAAACCATCCGTCAGGGTTTCATCACGGTTGGCTAATTTCACGAGATGTCTAAATTACATAATAAGCAGAGGTGCTAGTGTTTGCTCTTGGACACAGACTAACTTCTAACAAAGTGGTTTAAGGAAGAGCAAGTGCAAATAAGCCACAATGTGAAAACTACTGGAAGGGGAGCTGAGTAACAAGGACTGTCCTGTTAGATGGAACTTATTATTTGACTTACTAAAAATAAAGTTGCTAAGGTAAATCAATTCATGAGATCATATTAGTTAATTAATAAATAAGAACCATATGAAGCTTGAGTGCGAGTATGAACAAGAGTCATTAAAAAAAACTGGGAAAAGGCTGGAGAGTACTCACAAGCTTCTTGTTGTAACTTCCTGTTTGAACCAGGAAGAGCTTCCCAGTGAATGGAGAGGATTTCAAAGTAAGAGCTTGAAAATCTACTGATCGAAGTGACTGAAGCAACCTGGATTATTACTATATTACTAATACTAACATTACTAAGTCTATCAGTACAAATATTAATAGTACACAGAGTGATATAAACAAGTAAAAGAAGTATAGTATGCCCTTTTACCTCCAAAAACGTATCACAAATTATGGTCCAAATACATACAGATCATGTGCTACATGTGACATCGCACGTTATTTTCAAGGTTTGACCAAAATGGCTGTACGTAACTTTATCACTTCTCATCATAATCTGATCGTAGTTTAAAACTCTGACGTAAAAGGTGAGAAATATTCGCATAATTTTTTTTTTATATGTTAAAAGTGTAAGAAAAGCACAGATTTGCACTCAAATATCTACTTGCAATTCCCTCATCAGTAGTTTGCCTTTGGTGTGTTCGTTTAAGCACATTCTTGTTGTGAGTTATGTGTTGAACTGGTCCTGATTGTTAAAGTGAAGTGATATAACTGGTTAACATCTGTCACAACCTGCTCCATCACAGATCAGCTGCACAAACTTCACCACCTCTGGGTTTTCCCTCCGGTATTAGAGACTAAAACTGCTCCGCGTATGAAGTCATTATAAAAAAAACACTTTTAATTTGTCGTGTCAACTTTTGAAAGTGCCATACACATTTACAAATTGAAAATTTTGACTTTTCATATTCAGGTTGTGAAACCAATTGATTTGCAATAATAGCCTTTTTGAGTGGCAGAATGTAAAACACTGGACAAGATATTACTAAATCTATAAGCTCTGCATGAAATTTTACAATAAAAATCACAAACTAAGAATAAAACAAGTAGCATTCTTACATATTGTCCACTTTAATATACTTATTTAGATACATAAATCTAACTAATTGTAAAAATATGGGTGAACCTACCCGTTTATTAGCCAGAGACAGCTGGAACAGTTTCAGTCGCCCTGTAACTCTGAACAGGAGTAAACTGGTATGAACAATGACTGACTGAATGACAAGAACTACTAGTGTAAAGGTTGGACGCACTAACCTAAGTTTGTTATTTCCAGCGTTCCAGATGGAGCGAGCTCTAAACCAGACATGTATTAACGCTTTATCCAAGTTATTTGTACAAATATTCTTTAAAAAACACCTCTTTTAGTTTAAGGTTCAACATGCGAGCTGCACTTATTTTAACTGTAGCTTTTTTTGTTTCATACGTACGGCTTTAGTTGTGTTTACATAAAAATGATCAATTAATTTATCACCATTGCGCTGATTTTAGGCAAATATAAGTTTCTAAAAAGACTAAATGGGAATCTTAATGCAATTTGTGAGATCTGTTCAGCACAATTACTTATTTCTGTTACATCCAGGAGTCACTGAGTAGATTTGGTTCATTTATCTTGAAATGAGTGACTGATAAAAGTCAAACAATAGACATGTATGCAGTTAATGTTTTTATGTGAAATTTTAGAATCCAGCCACACATTTGGACATAACAGCTGTAATACAACAAACAAGATACAACACTTACCTATTCACCTGATAGTAAATGATGACACATCAAATCTGTTACTACCACAGGGGTCACAGGGGTCACCGCGGCGCATGTGTATTTCAAATTACCGTAACTCCTCGCTATTTTGTGCAATTTTAATCATTCAAACTGCCCCTGAAAGCTGTGGAACGGGGCTTTCAGGTGCTTTTACATGTATTACGAGAATGACTGAGTGCGTTTGGGGAGAGGGGAAAAAATGAGCAGCAGCTGCAGGCGGCGTTTGTGTGACCAGTCAAACTTTTAGTGCGGTTTCTTGGGAGTTTAGTTTTAGAGGTATATTCTGTGTAAATAAATCCAAATCTTGTAAATAATAGTTTTAGTATTTTTTTCCTGAAGAGATTTTATTGTGTTTTTGCTATTTTTGCGTGTTTTTCACTGAGTTTTGGTTAGTTTTTGCTACTGTGATTTTTCAACATTTTCTGGACATTTCCTTGTTGGTCGGTTTGTGAATATAAGAGGAAATGTCACTCTGTGCCACAGAACACCTGCGATGTGCGTCATGTGGGTCTCTGTCTTCAGGTGGACAGGAATTGTTTCCGAAACTACCACTGCTAAAATAAAAAACGCCTGGTTATTCACAAATATAACAGCCTGTAAGCTGGACTCAGAAAGCTCCAGACATGTAAAACTGTCTGAGTTGTTGTAAAATAGTTATAATTAATTTTTTGCAATCTCAGAATTGTTCAATCTGCACTTTTCAAGAATCTATTAAAAGAAAGTTGAAGAAAATTCAATTCCGTTTTTGTTCTTTTCCTCTTTATAACACACGGTTTTAGGTATTTAGTTACATAAGAACGGTAAATACGTGACAGATTTTGAAAGTTTTACTTCTCCTGGAAAAAGTGTGTAAATTATTTACACAAAGGGCATTTTTTGACACAATTATTGGCAAAAATAGACAAGAAAGACCAGGCGTTTTAATAAATATATCTATTATTGTGGTGCTTAAATCTTTAAGGAACTTTCATAAAAACACAAACAAAAAGTTAACTTCTAATGCAAGCAGTGCAAATACCTTTATTTGTCTGTGTTGTTGGGCTGGTCTGTGCAGCTTTTTCACTTTAAGAAGTCCAGATGTTGGTGCTGGAGCCCAGAGTTTTGTCACACACCGGACAAAATGGAGACACTGCATTTTGACTGGTGTATAGAAATAAAATTATAGTTAAGGCACACAAGAAAACTGTCCATACAGGACTTTTTTTTGTTCAAAACAAGATGTGATACAGTAAAATCTAACTTGTGACAACTCTAAAAAACAAACAAAAAAATGTGCAGATGTATATGGTGCTGTTCTCACGTTTTTAACAGGAGCTGTTATCAGCCGTGGACCTGGAGAACAAACAAGTGCTTGTTAGGAGAAAGTTAAAGACAGCTAGTAGCTGCTCTTAAATACACTTTGAATGGATTTACATGGCGACTAAAGAGTTTCAGCTTGTTTAGCCTAAACTGTGCAGACCATCGTTTCCTTCTGGTATGAAGACGAGAGGAAGAATTTGTTCGTGTCAGTTTCTAGACAGGCGAGGCTCCAGGGAGCTCAACCTCAGGGATCAAAGGTCAGCAGCAACCCACCTGCACATAAAGTGACAGTACTACTGTAATAGTAATGTAATAGTACTTATTGTGCGAAGGCTGTTCTGCACTTCTTTCTGCATTAACTCGTCCCACAGTTATAAAAGTTATTTCAGGGTATCAAAACATTCAGCTTGTTCAGGACACTCCTGTTATGACTTTTGGTATTGCTATATTTTTGAAATATGCAGCTTTTTCAGCAAACTGTTTTTCTAATACATTAGGATTCTGTGAATTTTTTTAACATCTTACTGTTTTTTTATTTATTTATTATTTAACTACTTCAGCATACATCCACCTAGAGAGTTCATTCAACTTTTAAACAATTCATAAGACATTCATCTATCGCCAATTTATTCAGCTTTTTGATATCTTGAACCGTTCTCCTAAAATCATAGTTTAAGTTTGTTAAAGTTTTGGTATTTGGCTCCTGTCCTGCTGCGTTTCCATAGTAGCTGAATGTTTCCTCTGCAGCTGGGAGACAATTGTAAATGTCCGACTGACGTTTGTGTCTGTGTGTGTTTAACTCATATTCAGCTATTTACAGGTTATTCCAGCCTTTTACGGCTTCTCTTTAGCTTTTATAGGCTTGTGCAGCTGTTCTTGAACAATGACAATCATCCGTCCTGCTTCTCACTGTTCAACAACAGGTGTGATTTACAGCTGCTTTTGTTGCTTTGCTATTTTCCAACTTCATTCTGCTAAATTGTATAATCCCTTCAGCTTCTTTCTGCTATATTCAGCTACAGTTCAGTCGTTTTTCTGCTAGTTTGAGCTTTTTCCCTGCTAATTGAACTGTTAATTTAATCATTTTGACTTTAGTTCAGCAAACATGTGCTCTTTAAGCTTCTGTCCGTACATTTCAGAATTTAGTTCTGGTTTTCAGCTTCTCCTGTGCTCATTTTAGCTGTTGTTTTTGGCTTTTAGCTTCTTTCTGGTCATTTTAGCTTGTTGATTAATTTGCTTTCTTCTACTTTTCCACTCTAATGTAAGTTTTTGGTGATCTGCTGTGGTTCTTTTAGCTTCAACTCATTCATTTTTAGATAATTCAGGCCAAAATTCAGTGTGGTAGTAGCCGAGAGTGATCCTCGACACACACTGAAGGCTAAATATAAATTCAATATGGCCGCCAAAGATCATGCACTGTCCGTGAACAAGCTCCAACTCTACAACTGTGTAATACAATACAACTTTATTTATAAAGCAATTTATTATTAATTTCGTTTTGGGATGTGCAAAGCCTTATGGAGTTACCGTATCTTGTTTCTTTAGCGAAACTAAAACGAATAAGAGACAAATTAGCGAAAGTTTTCTTAACACTAAGCACCGTATTTCTAAACTTGTGTAAATAAAAACTTCATGTCTTCTTACAAACTCTACATCCTTTATCAGTCTTACTCTTTTTCGGTGTTCGCAGACATTTCTTGAAGTAGTAGTAGTAGCATCTCTCAACTTTGAACTTCGAACGGAATCTGCTCAAACGGAAATAGCTGTGTGTACTTTTCAAAATAAAAGCCGATGTCAAAGTAAAAGCTGCTTGTTAAGATTTCGGACTTTTTTTTACATTTTAATTTTATTATGCAAGCTGACGCTTTCGGATTTTACTTGTTCGCAGTTCTTTTGGGCCTGTCACCATCTGTTCAATCTCCAAAAACACAAATTAGAGAGCTAACTTTTAGCCCTTTGCTAAAGGGGGAATCAATGTTTTTATCTGTGTTCAAACCTGGCACAAAAAAGGCAAAACTGATCCTTGCATCGTGGCACTTTTAAAAAGACAGAAGAAAATGTTAGATTGAAACCTTGACAGATCACAACAATCTGCAAATGAGGGTAAAAAGCATTATATTTGTAGTTCTAGGCTGCAAAGTTGGAAGAATGATGCAAGATGAAGTATTTAATAAATTTACTGAGATATTTAAATCTCCACCAGGTGGCATTGAGACATCAGCCTGTCACTGTTTTCACATCAGCTAAAGCTTTTCACTAATCAACCTCTAAATAGCTAAACCTAAAATGTATAGCAAAAAAAAAAAAAAGCATTATCTATCTAAAATTATTTAGACCCCGTGACTCAAAAAGGTTTGCTTTCAACTTTCAGTTTTGGTTCAAATATAAGTTGTTTTTTTTATATATATATATATATTAATGTCTTTGGAGCATTAAAGTAGTATTTGCATTAAGGTGTTAGTATTATTTTGGAGTGAGTCTAGTGATTAATGAGATATTTTGCTAAATGAAAACTACACACAGGTAAAATTTTAAAAAAAGCATTCAATATTTGTGCTGATGTGCAAAAGAAAAAAAATAGAGCAGAATGCAATTGCTGTTTAAAACTACATTGTGTGCAAACATGGTGCTAGCGTAATGTTTCATGTAAGTATTTTTTATGTTTCGTGAAAGTTATTGAGTAATAAATATGTGCATTTGTTGCATTGTTGCATGTCGTTTTTGGTTTCATTTCCACCTGGTTGGATCTGGTGTATCCCAAACATTGAAGGTTTTATAATAATCCAAAGTACCTACGTTTTTATTCAAATGAATGAAAGAATGAATATTTTAGTCATCTCTGAGGAAAAATAATTAATTAATTAATCATTTAAGTGTAAAAAATCTGCAGAGCAGATTGTTTTCATCTTTGTCACTTGCGAAACTGATAAATTTAGATAGTTCTCGAGATCTCATTGAAGTAACCTGTTATATCCCATGCTGCAGTACTCAGCAGGTATTTGTAGCTAATAATAATTGTGATGTGATTCCTGAAGTGTTTGTGTGTTTATTCCTTGTTCAGAGCATCAGGGAACGCCATGTGTGAGCAGCAGCTGCTGATCAACAGCTTACCTGCTCTTCACTCTTGCATAATCTCTTCAGCTTTAATTTAAAGCATCTCCACCGCCTCTGCTCCCTCCATCCTTCTGTCTTTTCTCCTCCCATCACTCTTTTTTTTAATCTTTCAGTCGTCTTGCTCCTCCCATTCAGATGTACCGCTCCAAGAGGCTGTGATGTCAAACTGGACAGGAGTCATTCAGGCTTTCATTAATCCACTTCAGATCTGCAGCCAAGTTTCAAACAGCATGGGGTGATCCTGCAAGTTGCTGACTCATTTAATTAGACACACCAATCACATCTCTGCCTCATTGCATAGTGAGTTCATTTTGTCTGTGATCCTCACAGATGTCACACAACAATGACTCATTTTGTCACATAAGGAAGATTAATATAGTCTGGATTAAAAGAAAAAGGCTCCAAGCACCAGCTTTGGTAATGAACCCAAGAAAAACGTGCAGGATTGAAAGTGTGAGACACCGCTTGAGAGAGCTAAAATAATAACTATAGATGAGTTTGATTCGATTGCATGGTAAACAAGCCTGCCATACAATGAGCCCAGTCGAGTGAGGTTGACATACAGTAGGTTGAGCGAATGTCTTTCTCTGTGCTCCTAATAGGATAGCACCAAATAATATTCATAGCTTTAGTGAAGGAGTGTTTAAAAATGATTGTTCCATTATGTTGCACAAGCTGCATAAAATAACATGATCACATGCAAAATACACAGCTGAGACAATGGAGTGGCTGTAATAATCTACTACAAAACCTCTGCAGCTCTGGAACAATTCAGTTCAATTCAGTTTATTTATAAAGTGCCAAGTCACAACAGAAGCTGTCTCAGGGCACTGAACAGAAACATTCATATTTAAAAATAATATTTTAACATTTTTTTTATCTGAGGAGCAGACTGCTTTGAGTTTAACTCCATGCAGAACTCTCATCTTGAGCAAGCATGAAGGCGACAGTGGAAAGGAAAAACTCCCTCATGAGGAAGAAACGTTTAGCAGAACCAGGCTCAGGACAAGCGTCCATCTGCTTCGACCGGCTGGGTTTGAGAGGAACAGGAAGGAGGAACAGATACACAATGGCAGGTCAAGAATCACGTTAAGATAGAAATAGTATCCAATAAAAACTATTACATTTTAACAATTCATTTAAGGAAATGAGGTCAATTTGTCCTCCAGTAGTCTAAGCTTAAGACAGCATAACAAGCTGACCCTAACTATAGGATTTATCAAGAAGAAACGTCTTAAGCCCAGTCTTAAAACTGGACAATGTGTCAGCTTTTCAGATAGAAACTGGAAGTTGGTTCCACAAGAGAGGAGCCTGATAACTGAAAGATCTTCCTCCCATTCTGCTTTCTTCAAACTCTAGGGACCGTGAGACAACCTGCAGTCTGACAGTGAAGTGCTCTGTTAGGAAAATATGGAACAATAAGATCTTAAATATAAGATGGAGCTAGGTTGTTGAGGACTTTGTAGGTTAGAAGTAAGATTTTGAATAAGGAGCAATATATGGGGCCATTCCTGCTTATAGCAATAACTCAATAATAACTTTCTGGTGAAGCTGATACGACTCCTTTAGGTTGGAATTGATGATTATAATTTGGTGAATACCTGCAACAAATAGTATTTTACAGCATCACATCATTTTTGTAAAGAAGCTGGTTTTCGAGGACACCTGCAGAGAAATAGTTGCAATCTATAAAATGTTTAATGACTGACTATTCTGTCACTCATTTTTGTTTTCTCTGCAGCTTTGAAGGATTTCCCCTCCTTTAGGTGCTGAAAAGGTGCTAAAATGCAAAAGAAAACACATACATGTATATTTATACATACCCATCTGTCACTTACTATCTTGTATCTGAAGGATGCAATCAAACTATTCTAGCAGATAATAAATTCACGTGCGATGCTTGATCTTCGGCTGCATATAACACAAAAAAGCTTGTTTCCTTCTTCCGCTCATTCAGAAGACAACCGTAAGAACAAACCGAGCATGTTTTGGTTTAATATTGGTGTTTTGGCCATCTGTCTGTAAGGAAATGAGAAGATTAACTTGTGCAGCAGCAAAATGAATACCTGCAGATGTCATGATGTATGTTTAACAGGTGATTTTTCCTGTTGTGAATGTGTAATCAGTACTTTTAAAGGCTTTTCTCTAAATAACTTCATAATGCTCCAACTGGGAGGGGATGCTTTAAAGCTTAGCTCGCCTCAAAACACGGGCCTCCTCCTCCTTGGCAGGTTCAGAGCAGCCCAAGGTTGTCTCTACCTGATTAGGTAACAGTTAATCATTAGAGGTTGGTGTTGCTCCTCTGTCCAGCTTTGGCTTCTCCTAACTTCACCTGCTGCTCAGCCTTGCCTTTAAATCTGCTGTTATCTAATGATGGAGCTCGTGTGGAGCCATGGGCCAGCTGATTTAAAGCGTCTTGGCAGAGGAGCCAAACCAGACCTTTGTACTTGATGTGCATGTGTTTACCTGCCTTTAAGTATGAATGGATGAGCGCAGATGTTTCAGAGGAGATCGATGATGTTTAAACCTGTTTGTCAAAGGCTGCAGGGACTCTCAGCTCTCCTAAAAGAACAACTCCTTTTAACTAATTTTAATGATTCTACTGTGCGGACTTACCCACCCATTATAACTTGCAGGATTTTCTTTGGAAAATGTTGCCCTAAATGTTCAACAGAATCCAAATTATTCAGTGAATAATGCTTCACAAATGTTTGATTCATATTTTTGTTTCTGCTTTATTTGCATATAAATGTAATTACATGTTTGTTATGTATTTTATTATCTAAACAGCACATATGATGTCATAAGTGAAAACTTTAGTTTTCTTCTGCTCATACTGGAGTTGCAGACGTTCACTGTTTACAGTTTGTATTACTAAAACCGACTTATTTTATACATCTGACACACAGCTGTCTAAAAAAACACAAGAAAACTGCATGCATCTATAGTTAAACATCTATTTTTTGTTGTTGTTGATGCATGATGTGTTTTAACATATTCTCCATACAAATACAATTCTGTTAAAATGCAGAGGTTTTATCCAGAATGCACTCCGAGATGCAATTCATGAATATCCTTGATTTTATTTTATTGTTTTACTTACAGATTAAAAGTTATCTATAATATTTAGCAAGTATTCAAAGAGAAGCTAAAGATAACAGCTGGAAAGACTTTCGCATATCAGCCATTTTGTCAATATTCATTGAGTATTTAAGCGTCTTCTTGTCCTTCTTGCATGTATTGGATCAGTGTGAACTCTGAGATGAGGATTTCGCTGACACAGGTGAAGGGAAGGCTTCTCCGCATACTTCATAAGACCATTAAGAAAACGCTCGTTGGAACAGCGACTGTATAAGCCTTGTGGCTTTGACTTCCACTAATCACCTTACAGGCAACACATGCAGCCTCTCAATGTGCCTGCATGGGAGCACCAGTACCTGGCAACAGCAAGTTCATGGCAGCTGTCATCATAAGGCCCCTCTCATAATCATCATATCTCAAAAATAAATAATCACAATGCAATGTCACTCGCAGAACATTTCAGCTGCAAGGAAGTTGAGTAAACTTATTTATACTCCTTCAAAAGTCAATCCTTCTTTGGAATAAAGCAGCAAAGCTAGAACGATCTGTGAAAAACTGATGTGAGTTAAATGTTTAATCTAGTTTATTAGCAGCTATAAACTAATGATGCAAAACTAATAAATTACTTTTCAGATTTTGAATTAAGGCTTTAGGGTGATTTCTTTTGACAAATAGTTTAAGAACTTTTTTATTACATAAAATATACAAATAATTATAAATATTTAAAATAATACTAAAGATGGATATTTACAAACATTTAAAAAAAATTAAAAACTAAAGTTGCAAAAGGTTAGCTAAAAGTTACATGCAACAAATGATTAGCTAAAAGTAACTAAAAGCTTAAGAACCAAAAGGCAAGCTATAAGCTAAAAGTATAGCAATAGCCTAGCTATGAAGAAAAATAAAGGCTAAGTAAAAGCTAAAATGATCAAAAGTCTAACTAAAAGTAACTAAACTGCAGCTAAAAGAAAATGTAAACGTCTAGCTAAACGCTAAAAGTAGGAAAAGGTTAGCTCAAAGCAACAGAAAATATGCATGCTAAAGGAGCTAATACAAAGTATACATGCATGCTAAAAAGCATGCACACACACATATGTGTGTGTGTGTGTGCATATAGCATGCTATAAAGCATAATATACTATATGCTACAGGATGGCAAAGGCTTAAAGTAGCATCAAAAACAAACATATAGAGCAAGTATGGTGAAGTAAATTTAAAATAAAACAATTTTTAAGTTAAAGGTATGTCATTGTATTTCTATTTGTGTAACTTTTGTAAATAATTAACTATTCTGAAAAGTATAAAAGTTACAAAAAAGCAGGCATAACAATCAGCCCTTGAATGAACTGAAGATTCAGATAAACGAATGACTAAATTTGCACAAAACATGCAGAAATAGTTAGATTGCAAATAAACTACTGAACAATAAATAAATAAAAAAAAAACAGAGGAAAAAATTGTGTTAAGGCAGAATCAGCATACACATTAAGTTTGGCACTTTGAAAACTATCTTTGCAGGCAAAGTGAATCAAGTTACAGACACTCTTTACTTCAGCTGATCCACGAGTACATTGTTAAGCTATTTTAAAACCACATCTTCCAGTAATAATTTGATAAAAGAAAAAAGAAAAAACGGTGTACTGTACATTTTTACAGCCTAACTGCTGGCTCTTGTTGCCAAGGACAACCGCGCGTCCTATTGGCCGCTGCCGGACCACGTGACGCACAGTTATGACGTCACAGCGAGAAGCTGCGGGGCTTATCCGAGTCAGAGCAGCGGTTCAGGAAACTGCTTTCTGGAGTTTGGACTGCGAGCAAGCCGGGAATTTCAGCTCCTGCTCGGTTTCTCTGAAACTTTTTACCGCCCTCCGCCCTTTTGACACGAGGTAATGGACTGTTAAGGAGACCTTTTGATTAAACTCCCCTCTCCGACAGCAACAGAAAAAGCGAGGTAAGTTGCTAATAGTTTACCCTCTCTTCCTGATACTTATATTTTCTCACAGCTCAGGTGAAATGACTTTACACGCTAAACGAGTGCTCTTGCACTTCATAAATGCCACCATCACCGGTGACCGTGTATTGAGATCAACTTTGAAGACGTTTTCGCCCATAACTTTGCTCTGCAGCGGCATTACGATGCACCAGCAGCGGATATAAGCCCCAACCAGAACATTTGTAATCGGATGAAGCCCCTTCTGTTTGATCCCGAGCCTTCAGATGAGCTGCTCTCTGTCTGTGCGTTCACTGAACGAGAGCAGGAAGTGGTGGTGGGACCACATAAAGCTGAGTATCTTATTTCAGCAAACACATCAGTCAGTCAATGAGGGGAATGAATCAAGAGAAATGTGACTTTACTGTGACAAGTGAGTGGAAATGTTTGTTTTTCCTCAACATTAACGGTGTCTTTAAGGCTTGAAATCACAGCTATCAGTGCATTTAACAGCTTCAAACATGCAGATATTAACCAGACTTATGCACATATCCTCAGCAGGTTTGGTCTTTAAATGATCACAAACAATTGCAGGTTTTAGTTTGTGTAATATAAGACTTTTCAGTTTTTGGTTATTTGTAAGGTTATTATTATTTTGGTTGTGGTTTAGTCTTTTCTTTGATCATAAATGGTCCAGATAATATTGGCACAACATGTGGTTGCCTTTTTTATGCCTTTTTAAAATCTAAATTCACTATAATCAAGTCAAATATGAACTGATCTTTGTTGTTGTTTGTGGGTAGAATCAATAATTTTTTTTTTTTGTGGTTTGCTCTTATAAAAATATTTGAGAATGAATTAATCTGTTCAGGCACGATAGTTCCCGTTAAATAGCCGATTTGGCAGCGATTCACATGAAGCTTTGCTGTTTTACTTTATTTGTTTACAAAGAAGTTAATTACCACAATAATTGAGAACGGTGTCCTCAGGTTTCCATCCGACGATCAAGCAGCCGTGGGAAAGATGAGGATTAAACGAGAGTAAAGTTTCCAGAAGATTATAGAAATGCCCATAGATTTTGTGCACACGAACAATTTTAAGCTGGTTTAAGGTCTTTGGTTTGATGTGAGATGTAAACAACAGGTAATAGCTAAATTGTCTCTGTTAGTCCCACTAAATATTCATGAGAGGATCAGTTGGTTAAAACAAGACACAAACACTTAGACTATTTCATGTCATAATGACGAGAAAATATTCTATTTAAATGCAGGAAATGAGGGTAAAGAGTCTCGCATCGCACAGAAAACAGAGGAACCTGACACACACTTCTGTGAGGCGATTTAATTTTAGCAATCTGGCAACTCAAGTTGCCAATGAAACACAACAAGAAAATTGACAAACCTGGGGATGTGTTGACTCAAGGGTGGAGTCTAGATAATGGGCGCCTTAATGTTAAACGCAGCTCTCCAAACATTTCAAGATGCTGAACTCTTGACAGATGTTTGCTAGATTTGAACAGATGTTCTATTTTTGTTGACGTGGGCGTGTTGTGGGTTTGTTTTGGGCCGGACCGACCGCACTGTTAGTTGGGCCTGTAGTTAGTCTTCAGCAGTCGGTGCTCTTATTTAAAGCCTGACTGTTATTTTAGATACCAGCTTGATTGATTGATTTAAAAGAAGGATGATGAGTCCTTTCAGACGTATGATATTGCAGTTCCAGAATCGCAGGAAGACGACATCAGCTCTACCTCTTAACTATATTTGTAATAGTTTGATTTTGTTTGTTCTCGAACACTAGATTAAACTAGGCTTTGCTTAAAAAAGAGTGAAACAATAAATAGCATATTAGCCAAATCAGCTCAGATAGTTAGATTACATTGTTGTGACAAGATTAGCTGCATTAGATCATCCTGGAAGTAGCTACGAAACTGTGTCAGCGTTTAAATTAGATGCTTTTATTTGTTTAATTACCTTTTTCTGAATTTAATGAATGCGATTTAAACCAACTAGGGTTACAGAGTGGAGTTTTAAGGCTTTCAATTAACCAGTGGTGTCAAATCCAGATCCTTGTGGGTCCCCATCCTGCATGTTTTAGATGTTTCTCTGCTCCATCACACCTGATTTGAACCAATGGGTGATTCACCGGCTTCTACAGAACACCGAGAGGTAATTCAAACATTTAATCAGGTGCGTTGAAGCAGGGAAACAAGTAAAACATGCAGGATAGTGGCCCCTCAAGGACCACTGGACACCCTTGCACTAAACCCTTGGACTTGCTGTAGTTGTTTCACCCTGAGTTTGGTTCGTCAACAGAAACGACCCGCAGAAGACGTTCCTTTCCACGTTTCGTAGGATCAGCAACGGTCCCGCTCTGACCTTAAACCAAATAACACGGCAGATAGAGTTGCAGTCAGGCATTCATGGAGCCACTGAAGCTCAGCCCGAGCGAACATGCGCCGTTGCAGGACTTGTAACGTGAGCATGCACGCTCCCAAAGTGATGCCACGCTGCAGCTGCGTGTAACAGTTGTTTGAGTGCGAACGGGTGGAAGCCAGAACTTGTTGACATGCAATCTGAGGCAGATGCAGGTTCAAACGTTTTAGGATGAAAGTGTCGCAAATGCACTAGTTTATGTTTTCGTGTTCTTGTTTTTAAGACTGTGCTGCTGCACATACAGATCATTTCAATAAAAAAAGAGAAACAGATTAGACAAAATACTCCTGTAAATAATATTTGTCATATTTTAACAGTCCTGCAGCAGAAAGAAGACGTTTGACTTCATTTTACTTTTGAACCACTTTGGCATGACTGTCTCAGAGGAGTTAACGGGGGAGAGGGCGGGCCCCGGAGGCCATCTTGGCACCAGCAAACTGTTTTTTCCACTATGGAGTTATGCTGTTTGTGGGAATCAGTTTGTTTGGTGGCTCCTCAGATTGAAGAAGTCCTTTGGATGAAGGATGAAACGTCTCGGCAAAAAACGAAACCGTCCAGATGACCTGACTGAACTTTGTTGGATTTATACCAGGATTATTGAGCATGGACTTTGGTGTTTTACTTCAGGGTTTTATTGTATTTTGAAGCTAAATTTGGGGATCTTCTACATGTCTAGTGAAAGAACAAACAGCTTTTGGGTTTTACACATTAAGATCTACTCATCTAATCATCTAATCTACTCATTTAAGCAGGATTGATTGAGAAATTAGAAACATTAATGAACCATCATCAGGCGCTATAGAAGATGTTCTTGTAAACCAAATAACTCAAACAACCCATTTAAGCCCACAATGTTGTTTAAACTGAATTTAATGTTGCAGAGATAAAAGATCATGGTGATTTGTGGGTGAATATCAGGATTTTTTTTGTAACTTCTTGCCTGTGAGGTTGAGAATAACTCCGCTCTGCAGCCCGCGCAGTGATACATTCATCATGAATGCATCATTCATAAAGTCGTCGTCTGTAATCGGGTCTTTTTTTTCCACCGGGCCGATTCCCTCAGCCTCCTCAGCTCTTGGATTATCTGTTGGACGTTGGGACTTACCTGCAGGATATAAATGGAGACGTGTCCCCGTTATATAATCGGGCTACAAGATGTTCTGGGATGAACGGAGCACCTTGCAACAACACGTTGGAGTCGACTTCAGTTCAGGACTAAGACCCTGACTTCAGCAGATATTTTTTTTTTGTTCTTAGGAACAAATTTCAAGATAAAATATATTTGTTTTGCAAAGTCGTTGCATTCAAAAATTGAGAAAACATCCAGTTAACATTGACCATCAAGCAAAGTTTTAATGAAGAAATGCTTTCAGCTTTATTTAAGTCATTTTTTAAATCACGTTTTGTTCATTTATAAGCCATGTGACATGATTAGCTGAATTATATCATCTTAAATATAACAGTGAATTCGATTTTTTTGTAACACTTCTAACACGTTTAATTATTTTTAAAGAAACTTTTTATATTTATTTGAGTCAGATCTGATCTATAGTAACAATTATCACCACATACCATCGGCTTTTAAGACCTAATAGATTTTTGTACTCTGAAAAATGCTAAACATTTACTAGTTTTAGCTTTTCAAACATGTATTTTGTACCATCTTTTAGGCTTTTTGACAACATTAAGCGTCAGTAAATGTGCTGCACAATTTATTATCAGCACAAAATCGTTATGTTTTTTTTTTTAAGCTAAGAAAAAAACAACATACTAATGAAATATTTAACCATCAGGAGGAGCCCCACAGCCAGTTTAGTTAAAAATTGAAGTGCATGGAGAGTATAAGAGGAAATGAAAGAGGGGTGAGGAAAATTAGCATTATTGCATGCAACATATCTCGTCATCGCAGTATTTATTAATAATATTGTAAGTGTGTGTTTTTGTAATCTTGTGCAGCCATATTTGAAATGACATGACTCATCAGGGACAGAAGTGAAACGTTGTAGGTGTGAATGTTCAAGTTGTTGAGAACTTAAAATAACAAGGATGCTCTCGGTACTTGATTGAGACTTTCACGTTGACTGAATCAGGGCTGTCCGGCGTAGATGTGGGAAACTTTTTGGGCGCCACGATTCGATTATGATTCAGCGGGCTGCCATCGGATTATAAAACGATGACACTCGGTCTTAAATGAAACAAAATACTTTGCTCTAAACTTTCATTCAGACAAAATTATTGAAACTAAATGACTTAAATAAAAGTGGCAAAACATGATTTTTATGTGTCTCATGTTGTTGAGCCTTACAGAGTTTCTATAGCTTTATTTTTTGTTCTGTTGTAAAGTGTAAACGACACACAACTCCTGGTTTTCAACCAAATCCTTTGCTGTCAACGTTGCACCAGACTTTGTCATTTGCTCTGCCTTTTTCTGAGGGAACTGTCCTCTCTCAGCGAGTTGGTGCCGTTGACAAACTCCACCCATGTTCATTGTATCGCTGGTTGTCTCCTGCTAAAAGAAATTAAGACATTAGGTTTAGAAACAATGAATTATTGTAAAGATGGCCGTGACAGGATGGAGACGCTGGTTTG